GGGTGTTGCTCAGGAAACCCACTGCCCCATGGGAGAGTTGAGGAAGCGACAAGAGTGTGTCCTTCCCAAAGTCTTTTATTGACAAACAAACGGAACACAGCCAGGGCCACCGGAAGGCCGGGTCACCACCTGCCCCAGAGATGAAGACAACTCAAGAAAGGAAGGTGCGCTGGGGCAGTGGGTGGCTTCTCAGAAACCACAGGTCACCGGAGACGTGCTTTCTGCATGCCCGCAGACGGGCCAGTGTGTGGCCCAAACTGGGGTCCCCACAGAGGCCAAGGCCAGTGCTCTGTCCACCAGGAGCCTCTCCCATCTCAAAGGAGCCCTTGGGTCTGTCTGCCGGTGGGCAGGCGTGCCACTGCTCCATGAACCAACCTCCAGAAGGGACCGAGAGGCAGCAGGCACAGGGTCACAATGCAGCCCCAGGGCCTCCCCGCAGACAAGACACAGTGAGAAACGGAGGCGGGTTCTGGGCTGGGGCGTCGGGGCTGCCTGCTCACTCACCCACCCTCCACAAAGACAGGCAAAGCAGTGTTTCACACAGGGGTGTTGCTTTATTCTGTGGTCAGCCTGCGGGAGCCGGGCCCCCTGGGGACAGGCGCCCCTGCCCGTCCCCCAGGACAGGCACGCACCTGGGCAGAGGCCCAGAGTGGCACTGGCACCGGAGGTGCCGTGCTCAGTGGCAGAGGCAGGGAAGGCCTACGCAGAGTCTGGGCAGCAAACACTGGTGGCACAGCGCTCAGGTGCCTCGTTCATAGCAGAGACGTGAAACGATGCCTGGAGTTTTAGACGGTTGGCGCCAGGGGAAGGCACAGGGTGTCCAGATGGTAAAGGCCCAGCACCCGAGGTCCTGTCCAGGCTGTTGGCTCTGCAGAGGGACCAGACTGGCAGGAGACGTGGAGAAGATGCTGCAGGAGAGAAGAGCCCATCACGCGGCATCACTGCACCACAGCCTGTGGGGGCCAGGGACCCCCGAAGGGACTGTGGCCTGTCACCACACCCGGCAAGCAGCCAGCTCCCCAAACCTCTCTCCAGCGTGGCCACCCCCCAGGGAGCCAGCTCCCCTGAACACCCCTCACCGTCGGCCGCATCACGCCTGGTCTCCCAGGGGGATGATTTCCTCGGTGACAAAGAACTCAATGGTCTCCTCCTCCCAGTCATCCACATTGCTATCCAGCTCGTCAGTGTCCACGCCTGGGGGGGGGAATGGGTGTTTCAGACTAAGCTGGAGCAAGCGGGCCCACCTCCCACCCGTGGCCCAACCCCTGGCTGTGGGGTTGCCTTTGAGCGCAGACACTTGCAGGCGCCTGCACACATGCCCCCGCATGTCCTACAGCAGTAAGCAGACCTTTGGCTGCACTGGAGCCTGTCTGTGACAGGAAATCTCACTTCAGGACCCCGAGGCCACGGAAGCCTCACGGGGTGCAGGGGGGCAAGGATGGGAAACCTCAGACAGGGCAGCAGAGGGCAACCACCGAGACGGCATGTGCTGTGAAAACCACGGTGTTCCCGGGCAGACCAGGCCTCTCTGAGCAGACGAAAACCTCCCGGCCGAGGGGCCACCCAGGGTCTACAGGCTATAAGCGCTAACAGCGTCGTTCTCCCGCAGAGTGACTGCTTGGCTGGTTACCTCCGCGTAGTTCCAGCCGCTCGGTCTTCTGCTCCATGTACAGCTCCTGTGCCATCTTCCGGTACTTACGGAAATCTTCCATCATGGTCCGCCTTCTCTCTACCAGTTCCTGCAAAGCCAGGGGACATTGAGGTCAGGCGCTGTCCTGATTATGTCACTCCCGAGTTCCCCGTAGGTACACAACCCCCTAAGTGCTCATTCCCTGCCCATCCCCCCTCCCAGCTTAGCATGGCCCTGCCCAGCAGCCAGCCCTCACCTTTGAGGCTTTAGACTGGCTCAGACGGTCCTTCTGCTCAAAGATCTTGGAGTATTTCTTCAGGTCCTTCTTAATTTGCTGAAACAGAGAAGCCACGTGAAGCTCCAGGACGTGGCGCCCCTGGGCGTCTCCCAGGCCACGCAGACCCGTCACTTCAGTTCATTCCAGCAGGTGAGCAAGGCCGCTCGGGGACGGTGCTGACTCCACGGGCCTAGGGGGTACACTGCCACCCTGTATTTCGTTCTTACTGCACCGTGTCTCTTCCACGGCTCCCGTGAGCCCCCACCCCAAGCAATACAGGAACCTCCTCCCTTGAGCCCGCATCTCTCACACATAACCACCTCCCTCCGTCACGCCGTCTCCTCCTCCCTCCAGCCCACGGCCACCACGTCCCCACTCCCTCAGCTTCCCGGAAGGGCTGCGGACCTGGATCTGATCCTGGCTGAGGGGTGACGGGGGACGAGGTCGCCACAGCAGCTGGCAGAAGCGGTCTCTGTTGTTTTTCTGCAGAAGACGTCCCTGGAAGGTCCACAGCCAGTAGGCATTGTCCACCTAGAGGGTGGGTGGCCACAGAACTGGGTTAGGACAGGGCGCCTGAGCAAACGCAGGCCGGCTGCCCTGGGCTGTGACGAGGACCTTGGGGCAGATAGGTGGTGCCATCACACCTGCAGTTCAGTGCGAGACACCTTGGTTCCCAACAAGACTTTCCCCATGAAGGAGAAACCGGCTGGCTGGCTGGCGACCAGGACTTCCCGGGGGACGGCACTCGGGACATGCTGCCATTTGAAGGAGCGGCCAGCACCGCAGAGGGGGAGGACAGGGAAAGAGCTGAAATCCCAGGGCAGCAGGGCAGGGCCCCTTCCCACCACTACTCTGTGCCGCCTGGTCTCCTACCTTGTGGCTCCACCAGGACACAGACGTTATGACGTAGCGCCCCGTGGGGTCCCACTCCACGTCGGAGGCCATGTAGTGCTCGGCTATGTTCATGACCGTGCAGTCAGATGTGTCCACAAAGGCTAAGGCACCGTTCATACTGAGGAGGACGACACACGCACACGCTTGCACCCAGAGCTCGCCTCACCCCCAGGGGGCCCGTGGGCAGCACCCAGTGCCTGTTATAATGCAGGGCCCCCCACTCCTGCTCAGAGGCCATCTCCCGGCAGAGGCAGGGAGGGAGGTCACACGGTGATAACAGCCAAGAAGGCCACTTGCTCCACCCACCGGGACTGTGAACAATGGGCACACTGCCAGGGGTCGTGTGACCCTGGTCCCATCAACAGGCCCTGGGGCAACCCTCTCCCAGCACCCCAAGAGCAGAAACCCACCTCCTCAGGCCGGCTAGCACAACAAACTGTCCCTGGGGGCTCCAGAAGATGGTGTTGGCCTGCTGCTTGTCAAACATCTCTGAAAGGACAGGGAGTGCCTGTCATTGGCCTGCAGGGCTCTGCATGACCATGGCAGCCAGTCAGAACCCAGTGGATACCCTGGTGGTACAGCAGTTAGCACTCAGCCATTACACAAGGCTGGCAGTTCTCCTGCTGGTTATTCTGCTGAGGCCGGGCCCAAGGTGGCCCACACAGATGGCAGCATGGACCCCCCACGGGCCAGCGGCTGTCACTGAGCGGGGTGGAAGTCCACCACAGGGACAACCAGTAATGCTGACACTAGTTCCCTTCACAAGTGGGGACGGACCATGGATTCTATTCACCTCACGAGAAGGCCCGATACTCCGGGGAGTCGGAAAGGTTTCAACAGATGCACCAATCCTCAAAACAACTTCCCACAAGGTGACAGGCTGAGGGGGTACAATCAGGGTGTGCCGCAGTGGGCTAGACACAGGCCGGAGGCCCCCACAGCACACTGCCCTGGGGTCAGGGTGGGTTCCAGACAGCCTGACCATGGGAGACAGTGCCCCAGAGGAGAGCGACATCAGTGACTGGCGACAGGACCCCAGCAAGAACATCAACAGGAAGCCCTGCCCAGTGCCCGATGTTAGGTACAGAAGCCCCCGCCCCAGGGGCCACTCACTGATGAGCTCGATCTTGCCGTTACTCTTGACGTGGTAGAAGGACACAGATATGCGCGGCGTTTCTCCGTGCAGCACGGCGAACTTGCTCCCGTTTGGCTCCCAGGCAAAGGCTATGATGGGCTCTGCGGTCAGTGTGCACGGGGTGGGGTCAGCAGTGTGGGGGCGCACACGTGTAAACACCCCCCCCTCAGCCCGGTCTATAAAGCTCGCAGGGCACCCCTGCGAGCAACCCTGGCACCAACACCATGCCAAAGTCGGGCATTGCATGTACTGACTGCTGCCCCCCCTTTCTGCCTCACTGAACACCCCCCCACCCCCACAATCCCAGGTGGAACACACAGGAGTCAAAGCCACGTCAAGCCTATCCACTCTCCTGGCACTCAGGAGGAAACCACTGCTACAGCACCCAGTGGGAGACCAACCACACAACCCAGACATCATGAGCCTCAGAACAGACAAGACACCCCCCCCCACCCACATGACAGCCCCTCCCTGGCAGGAGAGACTGAGGGCTTGCTCCTGGTCAGGGTGGGAGCGAGCAGGGAGCTCCCAGGAGCCAAGGGTTTAGTCCGGTACCGGTCTGGCTCAGGTGAGAACCGCACATGTGAGTCCAGGGACCAAGATGCCACTCACCTTTCATCTCCACGACGTCAACTGGCACCTGCTTCTCCCTCATTCGGAAAATTTCAAAATTGGTGACAACACCCTGGGGTGGGCGGGGACAGAGAGAGAAGAGCAGCACACGCCGTCAGAGGACGTGAGCATTTCGTGGGTGTGCACAGCTGGCACAGCTCAGGACTCGAGGACCACGATGACGGAGGGAGCTACGAGCGGGCAGCCTGGCCACGCAGAACAAAGCTCGTGGAAACACAGCTGAACGCTTCAGAGCCTTGGTGGCGCCAGGACTAAAGCACTTGGCTGCCAACTCAAAGGGTGCAAAACCCTCGTGAGCCCAAAGCCTGGACCCTGGCACCCGCTGGCTGAGTGCAGAGGACACACCCACAGATGCTCCTCTCCAGCCCTCACACCATCCCAGGGCTACACACAGGCCACAGCACCGTAGGGGGCGGGCGGCTGTGCGGAGCAGGGAGTGGCTGCAGACCCTAGAATGACGCCGTGGGGTCGGGGCTGCTGAGGGCCCTGCCTGCACCGCTCAAAGGGTGAAAAGTGGCTGAGGAGGCAGGTGGAGCGTGGTCCTCGGTATGCCGGGTAACCACAGGCAGGGCAGACTCTGTGTGCCGAAAGGACACCGGCAGCCAGGTGTGGGCGCCTCACTGGACACCTGTGTGGCCACAGCCCAGAGTTCGAGCCCAGGGTTCCCCTCCAGGCCGCTATGAGGACATCAGGTGGGCCTGAAAACTGCACTCATTAGAACCAGGCCGCTAGCACCCTACACCCAACGCACCAGGTGTGCGCTGAGCTGAGAGCTGCCGGCTCCCCCATGCCAGCTCACCTGGGTCCCCTTTGGGGTCCGATCCACTTTCACACACAGGTAGTCGCCGTTTTTCTGCCAGTGCAGCTTGCAGTCTACCACGTTGAAGAGGTTTCGGACTCGGATCTCCTGTCTGGTGGGGAGCTGCATCAGGGTGACCCTGGCTGGGATGTCCTTGTCTTCGGGCACCCAGAAGGCGATGATGTTGCCACCAGGAGACCAGGAAAAGTCTCTGTGGAACAAAAAAGATGCAGTGTGCAGACAGACAGAAAGCACACAGCTGCAGCTGTCAGCGTCGGAGGTCAGAACACGGTCCCCAGTGACAGCACAGCACCTTGGAGGATTAGTTCGCTCACGCCCTGGGGAAGGAGCCGCTATGTGCCACCACTCCCCTGGCGTCACGAGGCCCTGCGGCCCCCTCAACGCCTACTGTGTTTAGACCGTTGCCGCCAGGCTGGGGGTTTCTACGCATCACTGAAGACAAGACGCCAGGGGGGAAAGGCTCCTATTAAGGAGTTTAAGAGGATGAAGGGCGACGGCGCCCTTGGGTGTACAGCCCTGAGCTCAGATCAGCACTGAGACCCACGGTGCTGTTGCCCACCTGCCTCCGCAGGTGAAGAGGAGGACCAGGCCGCAGAAGTGTGGACGGAGGGTCTCTAGACCCCAAGCCCTTCTTCGTTCCAGGTCTGCTGCATAGAGACAGCTGCCTCCAGGCTGGGCAACGGGTCACAGAACCATGCCTGCTTTCCGGGGGCCACGGCAGCAGCCCCCATGCAGATCCCCGGGGCCTCCAAGGGCTATGGCCTGTCTCTTGCTCACAAATGGGAAGCTGATCGAACCGAAGCCCACCCGAGAGGCACTGCCCTCCTGCCCAGCGCCCACTCACTTGATCCCCGAGATCTTCAGACTCTTCTTGTCCAGCAGGCCCATAGACTGTGTGGGACGGAGGGGCACAGTTAGGTCAACAGCACCACGGCCTCCCGCCTGTCTTTCACAGAGGGGACACCAGCTGGCAAACCAGCTGCGGCCCCAGCCTGACAGCATCAGACACAGGCAGGACCCAGCCAGATGGTGACAGTCCCTTCCTTAGGTACTCACGGGCGTCTCGTAGATGCTGAGTGTGTCCAGGGTCATCCTGGCGAAGAATTTACCATCATGGCTCCACCTGCAAAGGGAAGCAGAGAGGTTGCAGGCTGGTGGGGCACCTGCGGCCAACATCGTAGGCAAACTGCACAGGCCGACTTACTTAAAAATGGGCCAGTGGGCAGAGCTCTCACAGTGGAAGCCCCTCTTCTTGTGGCCTGTCAGAATGTCCCAGATGATGGCCTGCGGGTCCTCTTGCTTGTCCAACAGGGGGCTGAAGGTCACCAGGTATCTGGGAGAGATGCGTGCTGTAGGTCACTCCACCCTCCTTCCCCGTCACTGCCTGATGGACAGCCACCACGCCTTGCACATGCTTCCTAGCAGCCTGCCCTGCAGGAGGCTGCACACACCACATCGCAACCTCGGGGACTGAGACGGCCCAAGGGCAACGCTGCCGGGCTCACTGTGGGCCCAGAGCCCGCTTCTCTCCAGATGTGACCCTTCCCACGAAGACCCTCAGTGCAGCATGGCAGGGCATATCCCACCAACTCATCTCTGCTACCACAGGGCAGAGCTGGGCACAGCGGTGGAAGCCCTAGGCGGCTCGCTGGAAGCCTGGCACAGGGCAGAGCTGGGCACAGCGGTGGAAGCCCTAGGCGGCTCGCTGGAAGCCTGGCACAGGTAACTCTGCAGGGTTCTCACTTTTCTCTAAGTTGGACTCCAAGTTGGGGGCAGGGGTGCTGCGACCCCACCTGGTGAAAGTGCCCCCGTCAGCAGGAAGGGAGGGCCAGGAGCCAGCCTTGGAGAGACACAGCAGACAGGTCACAGAACACCTGCTGTGGTCTCCTGTCAACAGGACAGCCAGGGGAGGATGCAGAGTGTGGGGGAAGAGATCACCAACAACCATGGCAGTCCACATCACCTGTCCACTGGACACTCAGAGAAAGGGGTGCGTGCTCCCATGTCTCTGCCTGTCCTCCCCGAGGGCTCACCTCTCGCAGGGCGAGTAATCGATGAGCTGCACTCCCTGGTGGCCGAATCTCTGGATCTGCTTGAACTGCTCCCCGCCCCAGAGCGCGATGCCCCTATGGTGGAAGGTGGCCAGGTAGGTGCCCTTTGGGGACCAGCGCACATAGGTCTCCGTCCACCTCTGTGGAGAGAGGGACAACAGCGTGAGCCCAGCAGGGAAAGGCCAGGGGCCAGCTCACTTCCTCCTGCCGAGGCGGCTCCTCCTGCTTGTCCATGGTGCGCCCTGCACAAAGCCACAGCACCGCCACTCCAACCCAATCCATCACGCCATGCCACGCCACCACACCAAACTCTCGAGCAACGAGCTGTTTGCTGGCGAGAAAAGGCTGTTCCCTACAGAGCCTCTGTCCGCTTGTTCATGAGCTCAGGTGGGAAAAGAAGCTCCTTGGCTGGGGAGGCGGGGAGGGAGCGTGCCCGCCCGGCGACCCACCGCTCTCTCTTCAATGGAGACGGGGTCCTTCACGTCGTTCCAGAAGATGGAAGTGCGGTCTCCGCTCTCAAAGATCACACTGTACTGGTCTCTGCACTCCGCCTCTTCCAGCCAATAGCGCAGGTTTCCCTAGCAAGAGAGAGGAGGACACGTCTTTATTTCTCACAAAAGAAAACACACCTATCGCTATTGTCTTGAGAGAGCCATCAAGTTTCTGTTGTCTCTGCCCCCAAGGAATTGATACTCCAGGCTGAGAGAGCAGGCATTTCTTGGCACCGATACAGATTTTACACAACGTACCAGGTCTTTGAAAGGCTGCTTCTCCGGAATATCCCACTCGTCACTGATCGTCATATACCTGCAGAAGGAAGAGCAGCCGACTGACACGCAAGAAAGGCTGGAACAAGACCTACCCCTCGGGGTGGTTCTCACCCACCAACCTGGGACACCCCACCCCTGTCTGAGTGGCACAAATGGCTAGAGGGTGCCACTGGCAGGAGCATGGCTGTGCACTGGCCATGTAGGGTCCTGAACCACCCAGAGGCTGGCAGCACCCCACTGAGTTGCTGTCAGGAGCTTGGGGTAGCTGGGCTGTCAGGGCCTGAGCCTGAACTCACTTGTCAAAATCTGTGAAGAGGTTGACCCTGAAGGTGTGCTGCTTGTCCAGCTTGTAGCCATCGGCATTCTTGACAGCATCCAGGGCGTGGGCAGGAGACGCGTATTCCAGGAAAATGTACCTGCATTCCGGGTAGGGACCACCAGCAGACTGAAACGAGGCTGTCCAGCCTCCCCAGAGTAGAGCCCCACCTCGGTGTGAGTCTTACACCCAGACTCCTCGCCCCACCCCAGGTTTCTCTTTAAATGACGAAGACAGCCCATCAAATGCCCACAAGCCAACTGAGGCACAGAGAGCGCCTGTCCCTGGGATATGGAGCGTGTCCCTCCGTGCTGAGGGTACACAGAAACGTGAAGCTTGCATTCCTCGTCACTTTAGCGGCCAAAGTGCAATACATGACGCACGACCCACACGGCACTTGCCTTCTTTCTCCCCATCATCTCAGGAGCCCAGGCCAAACCGCTGCTCCGTCTGAGATAGACACACACACACACACACACACACAACCTGTCCCCTAACCCTCTCCTAATGCCTCAGATACACCGGGGTGAGTCTGTGCAGGTGTGTGGGTCACGTGTGAATCTCAGCACCTGTCAGGTGTCCCCATGCGAGCACAACTCACCCCCTTGTCTTCCCATCCTCTTCCGGGTAGTAGTCGTTGGTGATTTTGCCAAACTTGGAGAAGATCTTGTGGATGACGTTTTTCAGTTTCTCCAGACGGTCAGGCCCTACCTGAGGGACGTTGTCCACCACAATCACCGAGTCGATGCCATCTGCCTCCTGTGGCCGGTCTTTGAGGATATCTCCCAGTAACTCTGCACAGGGAAAGGGCAGAGATGATCCAGAGGCTGGATGGGAAGGACGCTCTACAGGCTTGGCACGGCGCTCTACACGACCACGACAGGCAGCCAGCCCCTGGCAAGAGCAACTGAACGTCGCTAAAACCAGAAACCAAACTCACTGCCACCACGTCCACGCCGATTCACAGCGACCCTGCAGAACAGGGCACAACGGTCCCTGTGGGTTTCTGAGACTGTCGCTCTTTGCAGAAGCAGAAAGTCCCACCTTTCTCTCATGGAGCAGCAGGTGGCTTCAAACTGCTGGCCCTGCGGGTCGCAGCCCAACGAACAATGGCCGAGCCAGGTATTCACAGGGCTGTTGGAGCAATGTGTTCACATTGCTGGAAATGGTCCCAGGAGAAGGAGAGCGTCCACGGTGAACTGAGTTAGGGAACCATTTGCAGGCAGAGAGAAGTATCGGAACGCATTCTGTCCACCCACCCTTCTCCCCAAGGAGAAGGTTCCCCTATTTTTCTAGGCACGGGAACTGCGTGGAACGAGGCTGCAAACACTGCCTCGGAGGGTCTTCTACCGAGTGCACACTCTCCGCCCCAGTTACACTCAACACTCACGGCCAGAGCCCCCACCCACAGCGCACGGCAACATCGCTGTGATCAGCTCCGAGCTGGAAGCACGCAGGCACCACAGGGCTCGTGCGCAGTACTGCCCTGCTCTGTACAGCACCGGGCAGCAGCAGCTCTTTCCCTGGGAGCGTGGAGGACCTGCCGCGTCCGGGCCAGAGGGCTGGGCCTAAGCACTGTTCTCGTCTTGGTGGAGGCTGAGAACAGAGCTCGAACACGCGGGCAATATTCTAGCCGATCTTTTCATGACCACGCTCAAAACTCAAATGTGCGTCGTGCGTTGTCTGCTCGCAGAGCCCGCCTTAGGAAGACGCCACGTCCAAAGACGGGCATGTGGAACCAGGAAAGAGCAGAGGTGCAGACAGAGGGAAGGCGAGAAACGGGGAGGAAGAGGCCAGAGCTCGGCGTGGGAACGGGGAGTCACTCAAGTGCGGCACTCCTAGCCTCGTCTCTGTAGGGCCCACCCGGGGACTGGGTGGGAGACTCAAACAGAAGGGCCTTCAGGAGCAGGGCGAGGACCCAGTGACCATCAATAAGAACCACCGAGGAGCCCGTGTGAGACCCCTGCTTGGTGTAGGGGGTGCGCACAGCACCAAGATCTACGGCAGAAGGGTGGGCTTCCCCGCCCAAAGAACAAGGCAGTGGCCGAGGACCAGAGAGATGTCTGTGGTATGGCTGACAAGAGGTGTGGTGGGCAAAAAAAAAAATCCCTACCATTTGGTAACCTGTTCCCCAAACCAAACTCACTGCTATCAAGTCAGCTCCAACCCAGCGGCCCCACAGGACGGGGTAGAACTGCCGTGACTCTCTGGGGACAGGAAGAAGGCTGCCGGCTCCACATCAACCTTGTGATAGCGAGTACTGTCTGACTAGTACTGACGCACCATGTGACAGGTAGGGTTATTGTGCCAACCTGGCTGATAGGAACATAAGATTAATTGGGTCAGTTTGATTGGAGGGCAGAGATCAATGGCTCTGCAGGCTCCCCCGCCCCTTGATCTCTGGTGAGCAGAGAGTGGCTTGGAGCATGCTGCTGCTTCAGCTAGTTGTCTGCTTCAACCTGTGAGCTACACCACCTGTGGGCCCAGCCAACCGTGGATCGTGTTGCTAGAGCTTGAGGCTCCATAAGAGACCAGCCTAACCACGGGTGCACACATCACTGGAGGCTGGTGGGTCCCGGCACCCTGCATTGCTTGCGTGGTCATTCCATCTGGGCCTGCTTTGCTAAGCTCCCTTAGAGACCCAACCTGCTGCTCGGGGGGCGGGGGTCACTGGCAGATACTGCCATATGCTCCCTTGACCTTGGACCCAGCAGCCCAAGTGAGCTGAAGGACTTCCAGTATATTAACTGTTTCACAGAAGTGGGGTGAACTGAACCCTCTGTAGTGCTGTGTGGACTAACTAGCTGTTACATTCCTTCTTGCAGTATAAACCTATTCTCTTATATATCACATATAAATCCTGCCTAACACACACACACCCAATACACACTTTTGGTGCCTCAAATGTAGACATTTTTGACCAGCCAATTCCAAACGTGACACACACACACACACACCCCCAATCAGCTCTAGTTTTCGAGAAAGCAAATCGACCACTCTTCACTCTGCTTGTCCGTTAAAAACAACAAAAAACCCCAGGATATTTGAATGCGGTGTTAGCTAGCACGATGGAGGAGGACAGACTGGCTTTGTTTCGAGCTGTCTGTGTTAGAAAGAAAGGCATGAGGTTGCTGTGCTGTACTGAATACAGAGGTGAGGCTGTGCTTCAGTCTCCTTTGATCTGAAGACACATTTGAAAGGCCATGAATGAGAACGACTGTTCAATCAATATGGACCCTGATGACCAGTGGGCTGTGCTCCACCAAGCCCCCCCGCCCCCCCCTCCCAGACAAAGACGAGTCTTTCTGCCTGGAAACCCACGGGGGAAGCTCCACTCTGCCCTACAGCAGGGCCCCGGCAGTCATTACCCTCCGACTGACTGGTATTGAGTCGGGTATGATAAAGATTCAAGCATTGTGAAACCCAGAGTGGACCTGTCAGAGCTCAGACTCCGCTATTAAAAGTAAAATGCTGCAGTCCTGTTCTAAGACGGCACCACTTTCCACTAGTGCACAGAAACCGGTGAAAGGGAAGAGTTCTGTTAAAGCAGCTTGGAGTCACCCTCACCGCGGAGACATCTCACACAAACTACCCCCGGCCCTTCTACGCATTAAAATGTGTTCTGCAACGGTGACTGCATAACTTTGAGAAAAACTTAGATCTCGGGAAGTGTTCATGAAAATTGCTGTAAAGTCTCACATTTTGACCTTCCAGATTGGCCCAGGCTTCCACACGTGCGCCTTTTCAACGGTCCTTTCCATCTTCTCAAGCCACGCCTGGCTTTGCGGTGTCCCACTCGGGGCCTTTGTGTACACTACACAGCCTCCACACCGAAAGGAAAAATCCTGCTGCCATCAAATAGATTCTAACGCATTGTGATCCTGCAGGACAGAGACTTGCCCTTTGGAGTTTCCAAACCTTTGGATCTTTCTAAAAGCTACAGAGTGCCTGGTGGATCCGAAACACTTACCTCATGATTATGGCAGCACCTCAATGCGTAGCCAACTAGCCACCCTGGGTATACATACAGCTTCCCTAGGAAGTCCCTTAATACTTCATTCTTTTCAAATATTTCTCACCTTATCTGTTATATCCTACCACCTGTGGGTCTGCATTCTCATACTGAAGACTAGGATGGGTAAACTGATATGTCAGTGAAACAGCTGTAAATATAGCGGAACACCATATCTAAGAGATTAGAGCAGATAGGGTCTACTGAATGCAATTTTCTGAATCAGCACCCCAAATAACCCCAGAAACAGGCCTTAAAAACAAGTAGAAAAATGTTGGTGTTGGCCTGTGTTCTGGGACCCAGCAGAAAAGCACTGTTGAGGGAAGGCATGGGATAAAGAAGGAAGGAGGCATGTGTGACCCCAGCCTGGGGCCCTCGGCGGGGGTGCAGCGGGGTTCTCTTCCTCGCTGAAGCTGGGGCTGACCTGGCCTCCTTGTCACATCCACACTGCTGTCAGGGGTGGGGCCCCTATCCATGCTTCAACAGGAAAGCCCCACATCTGAGCAGGTGGAGGCAGATGAGGAGGCGAAACAGCACCAAAGGGCACCCAGCTTACCCTTCCACTGTCATGCAGGTTCTGAGCGACTAGTAAGCTCGCCTGTCAGACTGCAAACCCCAATGCTGCGCAGCGGATCCCAACGCACAGCGCCCACCGAACTGCCGACGCACAGAAGCTGGCGGCTGGCAAGGAGGCACGGGATGGGAGGCGAAGAGCCCCCCTGTGAAGTGGCCATCAGAGCGCCCTGGTAAAAAGGCACTGCCTCAGCACTGCAGCCGAACAAGCCAGAGAGGCGATGGTGAGACAACCTCGCTTTACTCTGGATCCCAGTCACCACCAGGTTCAATTCCTGTTCTCAAATTCCACGGACGGAATGTGACCAGCGCTAGAGAAGAGATGTGGCTGCATTTCCATCTCAAAGGGTGTTTAAGGCAAATTCTCTCTACTTGTGTGTGTGGTAGAAATGAACGTGAGTTGATCTAAACGCCTTTCTGGGTAATACTGGAAAGGTTATATGGAAGAAACAAACCAATCAAAACTCCTGCCAGGCAGCTGTCAACGGAGGTACAGGTGAGTTCAAGGCAATGGGAGCGAAAGAACACCCTCCTCGTTGTGGAAACTGTAGTGGGTGCTCAGCGTGCCTGCAAAACCACTCCCCAGCCAGCGAACCAGCCGGCTGAGCCTGATCAGAATTTACAAGGTGGCTCATAAAGGGAGTCCGGCTTTTATGCACAACGTGGACTCGGCACCAACGCCTTTAAGAACCTGCCAGCCCTGCTGAGGGAACGCACTTCATAAATCCCCCACCAAACCCCGTCCTTGACCTAGCCCAGGCACGTGGGCCTCCCGGTTCCCGTTCTCAGCCTGGCTCTACAACAGTGGAAACTGCCGCTGCAACAGCCAAGTAAGTGCTGAAGGAAAAGAAGTGAGAAAAGCCAAGGTAAACGAAATGTGGTGAGCTTACAGATGATACTTCAGTTGACATGAACACCAAGACAAGCCATGTTTGCCCAAACACCAAGTGCAGTTGAAGATGGAATCTGTGAGGCAGCCATTGCACCATTCTACTGGACGTGATTGAAAGACGAAATGTAGGTGTTCAATCTCAACGAGTAAGAGAAGGGAAAGACAACAGAAGCTGCAGAGAAGAGGGTGAAGGAGCAGCGTTGGGGGGGGGGGGGACACATGGTCAAGCCAAGGGTCAGCCTGTGAACCAGGAGGTGGGCAGCTGGAGCCCACCAGCCACACTGTGGGAGACAGACCTGGCAGTCTCTTGCTTCCATAAAGGTGACGGTGAGGGGCCGTTCCACTGTCCTACAAAGTGACCATTAGCTCAGACAGACTTCATGTCTCCCACTTTTGGGATCAGAATCTCTTATCACGAGAAATCAAGTCTAACAAAACGGTGGGCGACTGTTACTACTGCGCCCCTCCCCTCCCCTTTGCACAGCAGGAGCTCTGGCACAGTGGTTAAGCGCTGGGCTGTAAATGGAAAGGCTGGTGGGTGAAGCCCACATGCAGCCTGGAAGTCGCCAGCCTGGAATTCCCAGGGGGTAGCTGTGTTGGATCCTAGAAGGGACTTGTGGGCTAGGGTCCACTCACCCCAGGGGCCTCCAGCTTGGCTCTGTCCTCATTGATACAGACAGGCACCCCCCACGCACGTCCAGATTCCAGGGGTGACACCAGGGGCGCTGAGCTCTACTTTCAGGGACCGAGCACTTCCCTCCCACCCTCGTAGTTACGAGGAAGCAGGCTGTCCTGGAAGCACCCCACTCCACTGCACGCAGGGGAGTCGGCGCGACCTCTCATGCCTACGGAACCCGGGGAGCGGGGAGCACACCCCTAGAAAAGTCCCCTGGATGTCTGGGCCTGGCGCCGCGTAAAGGACCCCCGAAGCCCCCCACCCCAGGACCCTGAAGCGCTCACGCCTGCGAGGCCAGCGCCCAGCCGCAGCGTGTGCAGAGCCCCGCTCCGTGGGTGAGCGGAGAGCGGCCCGCGAGGAGAGCCCCTCCGCGGCCACGCACCTTCCTCGCTCACGTCGTCAACGAAGTCCTCGGGGTCGCTGAAGGAGGGGTCGTCGGAGTCGCCGTCCTCGAGCGCGCGCGGCCCGGCCTCGGCCTCGGCCTCGG